TATTAAAAATAAAATAAAAATATAAATTAAATAATAAAAGTATATTAATATAATTGGTATTATGATTAATCTATTAATTTTAAGTTCTTAAATTTTATTAAAAAATATTTTTCTAATTTTTTTAAAATAAAAATGTATAATGGTCCAAAAAAGTGAAGACCAAAGTAGTTACTGAAAAGGGTATCCCCTTTATATATTAGTATAGATATATTAATTAAAAGTCATTAACTTAATTGATTTAGTATTTGAATTTTTTAATTAAGGATCAAAATTTTATCATCATCTTAAATATAAAGACATTAAAAATATCATTTTATTTTTTATAAGGATTGACCTTGTGAAAATAAGTCATAGTTTCTTATAAAAATAATATATATATATATATATATATATATATATATATATATTTATTTCAAGAGTAAATCTATCTATACTTATTTCATTTAATGATTTATGTGTTATATTAAATTTTAATAATCCAATCGTTGAATTAAATTTTTTTAATATATAGATTAAGTCTATATATTTTTTTACAAATAAAAATTATTTGATACTTTGCTTCCTTAACTTGGATAATCATAAAAATATTTTATATGTTGATTTAAATTATCAAAACAAAGTATCAAATAGTTTTTAATTTTAAAAAAATTACATATTTGATTTATACATTAAAATTTTTTAGTTTTATGGTTGAATTGTTTAAATTTGATGAAAAATATAAGTTATTGAATAAAGTAAGTATAAGAAAACTTATTCTTAGAGTAAGTAATTCCTTTCTTTTTCTCTCTCTCTCACTCTATATATATTCAAATTGATAAATAATCATAAAAATATTTTATACGTCGATTTGAATTAATGAAATAAAGCATCAAGTAATTTTTAATTTTTTTTAAAAGTTTATCGCCTTGATCTATGCATTAAAAACTTTTAATTTAATAATTATATTATTAAAATTTGATGTAAAATACGAGTTATTAAGTTAAATAAGTTTAAATAGATTTATTATTGAAATAAGTAAATCTCTTCTCTCTCTTTATATATATATATAGTCTTGGTGCTTGTGGATGCTCACATCGCATTAGGGTTGTGATTAAGACAAGACTAATGAGACTATCGCCTTAGGCCCTGCTCCAAGTTATATATATATATATATATATATATATATAATTTTTAAAAAAATTAATGTTGATACATTATCAATTTAAAGAATTTATAGCAATTGATTACTTAAAAATTATGGTACATATAGTTTTTCAAATTATTTCACATCTCATATAAAAATCAATTATTACACATCTCAACAATATATATTATTTGTAATGAACACCCATAGACAAATGGAACATTTAAATTTTACTAAGACGATAAGTGGCAAAAAAAAACTCAACAAATTATTTGACCCGTTTTAAATCAGAGTGAACCGGTCAATTTTTGGTTCGACTAGTAAACTAGTGGGTCAAACTGGCTCAACCTTAATTTTTTTTAAAGAACACAAACCACAAATAACAATGGGAATTGAATCATGCTAATGAAAGAGCAAAAAATCTTATTAAACATAATAATAACTACTTATTTTAATATATTTGTTTGTAATATATGCAACTTAAATAAAATTTTGTAATATATTATTAATTTTAAATAATATATTCAATAATATAATATTTATATAGTATTACATATATTATTTTGTGATGTCAATTACAAGTATATTATATATGTACATATTATTTATATTTTAATTTATATTAATATACAGTTGAACATTAATTTTTTTATATGTATTTCTTTATACAAAATAAAAATAAAGATAATTTTAAATAAGATGAAAATTAAAATTTAAAATAAGATATAAATTTATTGAAATTTATAAGTATAAAATATATTTAATATGAATATTTTTTAAAAAAATTAATAAAAATCAGGTCATGCAATTCAATTAGTAACTTACTAATTCAACCTTTAACTCACTGATTCAGTATCCTAATCAATTTGATGACGGATTCGATTTTTAAAACTATGTTCTAAATCACTCATTTAAACAACAATTTATAATGAAATTAACGGTTGATAGAAGAAAGAAAGATTGTCGTCAATTGTCATTATACGTTTGTAGTCTGCATAAAACAAAAGTAAAATAATTCAAACATATAATTGATTTTTTTATTAAATACATTTAAAAATCATGAACCCTCAGTATATTTAATGTGATTATCGAATCATTTAATATGATTATATCTCGTTATTTGCATTTATTTTTGAGTTAATCACTTATACACAGTTAGTATAAAAATTTTTTATACTAACCGTCAATCAAAACCGTTAATAGTATTTTTTTATCTGCTCATTTAATTAATTTAAAATAAAAAACACTATTAATAGCTCTAATTAACTATCAGTGTAAATATACTGACAATATATAGATGAATAATATGTAATAGCTGTACTACATCGATTCTTTGGCATCTGAATTGTAATTTGCACGTATAAAAAAACTAATTTGCAATTTTCTATTTTTTTGTCGATGTTATTTACTAAATTGAATTCTTATGTATTAATTAGGATATGCTTTGTTGGTATTATTTTATATATATATATATATATATATATATATATATATATATATTCAAATCCCTTTCGTAATTCTTACAAAATTCAATGATTGTTTTTTTCTAAAATAAACTAAACAAAATATGTAATATAATATGCTAATCATATGCACCTCCTTTAAATTTATTGTCTAGTCTTTCGAGAGGCTTAGCATAAAGACAAAGAGAAAACACGTGTGCAGTCAACCAATTAATTCAAGATACTTGGACAGTAAGTAGGATTAC